ATTCAGCTTAACTTGAGGCTGAATAAATATCTGAGCAAACAGATATGGCATCACATTAACTGCCTGTCTTATACACACATTTAGTATACTTTGCTGTTCCCTCAGTAATATTAGCTAAATTATCAACAGCCTTCAAACCCCAACATAATTCTTATTTTTTATTTGCAGCCAAAGTTGAATCAATTTTGTAGTTTGTACATGCTGTTGATAATGTTAGACAAGTTGAATCTGTTACTTTTTAACATTTTCCTGCAGATGAAAATAGAGTTTAATCATTACAAGTTTTAGCATCAGTTTAGGTAATTAACTTTTCACAAGTATCCTATAAACTGCATTTAGTATCACCTGTTTTGAATGTGCATGTAAGTCCTCCATCATTCACGAACTTCTTACATTGAGTTAACTTAAGTGGATCAGTATTATCGGTTGTAGCATAATTATATGCACAAGTTGCTATAGGTAAATAACAAATGGTTCCAGCTAATTTACATACATCATTAGTTGTAGTTGATACATTCTTTTATAAATAAGTAACACAGGATGATGTAGTGTATTCACTCAAGAATTGATCACAAGTTCTAGATGAACACTTAGTTGCTCCTTTTGTAAAACCACATAACAACCCAGTGTTATCTTTGATGTTTGTACAATAATCAAACTTTTATTAATCTGTTGTTGCTGTATCTGGTAAATTATAAGTACTACAAGCTGCTGCATCAAAGCATGGAGATCCAGTCTTCAAGAATCTACAAGTTGATTTGTGATCTGTACAATCTTAAGCTGATTAAGGACTTGCTTTATCTGCACATAACCTAGTTTAGCAAGCATCATATTTTGTGCATCCAGTTTTGGTCCAAGCTGAAGAAACTTATAAACCTCCACTAAAAGTAGGACATGTGGTAACTGTTCCTGATTATTAAGCACAGGTTCTTGCTGATCTAGCAATGCAACCTCCTTCTGATTTAGCAATACATCCTGACATGAAAGTTTCACACGCTTCATCCTTTGTGTCTGTGGTATTATCTGTACATTATCTAACAGTGCATGCAGCTGAAGTAGATGTTCCAAAACAATATTTAGCACTATTACTTCCAACAATAGCAGCTTCACAAAATGCTAAAACACCTGTATAACTTGCACAAGTTGTGTCACCAGCTTTTGGATCAACACATCCTCCATTTCCATTAAAGACACATCCTTCTAAAAATGACCCACATGTACTATCTGTTTAATTTGTAGCCAATTTGCATGTTTTAACTTAGCAAGAATCATTTTCAGTTGCTGATGCACTGTTATAACATTGATTTGTTGTAAAGTTATCACTAGATCCAGATTTATAAGCAAATAGTTTATTACATGTTTCTTATGTTCCTTTCATTGATGAGCAAGTAGTAGTATAATCTACACAACCTTTTCCATTACTAATACATCCAGGCAAGAATGTAGCACAAGTGGCATTATCAGTTGCATCTGTATTATCTGTGCACTTTCTTGATACACATGCAGTAGTATCAGTAGCTGTTGATGTATTGGTACAATAACCTGGATAACTTAAACAAGTGGATTATGTTCCAAAGAGTTTGCTACAATCATATTTAGTTATGCATGCATCAACTCTATTACTAATACATGTTGATAATTCTGCTGCACAATTTGCATCTGTATTATAATAAGCACCTGTCAAATCTGAACAGGCCAATTCCTTACAAGCATTATTCAACCAACCGCATTTTTTTGTTACATATATGTATAATGGATTTCCATTATCATCATTTTTATCAAAAGTTCTGACTCTAGCAGAATTGGCTAAACAAATTGATTTTTTCTTAAAATCACTGCATTAGGCATTACTAGTACAAATTGGTTACCATGAACAATTATTAGTACCTTCACAACTTTATTATTTAACAGTTAAATCACAAGTTGTTTATGAAACGCATCCTGATCCAGTAGTAACACAGTTAGTGAAATAATTAGCACATAGAGGATTAGTATTTACATTAGCTGCTGCACTTGTACAATCTCTAGCAACACATTTAGTTCCACTCTTCCACATACATTTTCCTTCAGATCCCACTCTTGATTAACAACTAGTAGCATCTCCATCATAAGTAGTACAAGATTTCAAATTAGTTCTTGTAACACATCCTTTTCCTGTAGTAACACATCCAATTTAATATTTATTACAAGCCTCATCAGTTGTTGTTGTATCTGGAGCTTCATCGCAAACTTTTGGTAAGCAAGAAGCTTCAGTTGTTGTACTGGTTCCTTTGCAATATCCATCTGTACCAATATATACAGCACAAGTTGTGGCAGTACCTTTATATGTGTTACAAGCTGTTAATGCTGAAACACAGGTCTTGCCATTTGTTTTACAACTTGCTTGATATTATTTGCAAAGTTCATCAGTATTGAATGCACCATTTTCACATTTTCTTGCTCTGCACTTAGAGCCACCAGCATCTCCTTCACATACACCATCTGATCCAATATATCCTACACAAGTAGTGCTATCACCTGAATATGTAGAACATAAAGGCTTTGTTGTTGCTAAAACACAACCTTTTCCTGTTGTGATACATCCCTTTTGATAGGCTTTGCAATCATCATCAGTAGCCAAAGATAATGGAGCATTTGCACATTCCTTAGCTTTACAATTTGTGGTACCAGCTGCTAATTCACAATTTCCATCTTATCCAATAAATGATTAACAAGCAGCATCATCTCCTGTATAAGTAGCACAAGCAGGTCTTGGAGAATTAACACAACCTTAACCTTTTGTCACACAACCAGCCAACCAAGCTGAACATTTTTCATCAGTATTTAAACTGGTATCGGCTTCTGAACAAGAGTAATCTCTACATGCTCCAGAATTTGTATCCCATTTACATTTGAGAATTCCTGAGATACTTGGTGTTGATTCACATTGTTGTTAAGTGTATTCTTTACATTCTTTGGCTTCAATACATGCATTTCCGTCACTGACGCAAAAGTATGATATTGCTTAGCAATCTGTTGTTGTAGTTTTAACATATGCTGGACATCCTGCAAAGTGTGTACATTTTGAATCTACATAAGCACATCCTAATGTCTTAGCACAATTTGTTTCTGGTTTATCAACAAGTTCACAATAAGGTTTGAATGAAGCTACAGGATCAACTGTAGTCTTTTTCTAACATTTTGCTGGTGTTGTTCCTGCTGCAGCTACCCATTCACAAGCTCCTGTGACAGTTATTTCTGTTTCACAATCGCTTTGTGATTTTAATTATCCACAATCATTACATCTATTTGTGTGTTGTACTTGCTATGTTAAGACCATAGCTAATAAGCAAATGAGAATTAAATTCTTCATTAAAAGTATTAATTGAATATATTAAATTTAGGGAAGCTAAATAATCTCAAAAAATTAATTTTTTTTATTTAATTAATTACATAATAATCTTTTTTAATGTTATGATAAGAATTTAATTTGAATAATTAATCTACATCATTAATATTTATAAATATGATATTATGCTCATTATACTAATGCAAAGAACAAGGATGTTGCGGGTTCTCTATAATCAATATTGATCAATTATTTAGGTCAATTGAATGTAAATTAGAGATTTAAAAGCTATTTTATTAATGCCGTTGTCTAATTAAGAGAGTTATTGACATGCTATGTTGAATTGCAAGAGCCTAAGAGTTCATGTATTTAAAAAAGAAAGGGCATTCTAGTCTCACAATAAAATTTTGACCAATTATATATTTATACATAAATTGAAATTTTTCATCTCTATTTTTGCTTAAACTTAGACATATTGATTTGGGAATATGAGTGTGAGCGTATGGAATCAGAAGAATTTATTTTTATACAAAAGTGTTTCACTGTTTAGGAATCTAGGAAAAAATTATGGATAGCATGAATTGTCATAATAAAATATTTACTCTAATGCTTTTTTTAAATAATTAAAAAATATTAATCCACTTAATATTTAAAATAAACATAATAACTCTGAAATAAAGAAGTTAGCGAATTTTAAATAAGTAGGAGGCATCTTGAACTTTCACTAATTTACATCCCAGACTAATGGATTAATGAGAAGGTACAATCATTTATGAGAATGATCATAAAACAAATTATGGAAATCCATCATCTTTTGCTTTTTGATTGATATTCACATTATATTCTACTGTATAATGGTACAAGAATAAGGAATCATCCAAGATCTGTTAAGACTTATGATTAGAAGACAGATAGAAAAAAAAATAATTTAAATATTCATGTTATTATTCGATATTTTATCTAATCGTTATATATTAAATATTTTATTAGCTATATAATATATAATAAATTTAATATGAGTGTATTATATTTAATACTATATAAATTTCCTTTTAGAATTAGATCGCTATTATACTACAGTATTCTAAAATATTAAACATATTAATAAATTAAATAAATTTATGTTAGAATTCAAAGCGATATTTATTTTAAATATCCTTTTTCTTGTTGATAATAGAAACAATAGCACAAATCTAAATAGAAAATGAATTGGTAAATATTGAATGTGTAAATAATTTTATACATACAAGTTATGTAAATTCCATCTTCAATGATAAACAAGACCACATTTATATTTTTAAAATAAAATTTTTTAATTATTTTTATTTGTTACCTTAATTAGTGTTTCAAATTTTTTTAAATAATTAAATTTACTTAATTATGTAAAGGAGATTAGAAAAGAAAGAAACTAAGATAATTATATATAACTTGTTTATATGATATTAGTATTGAATATTAAGCCTATTGCTATGATTAATAGAATTTCTGAATGTGAATGGGGGAGTTTCATTATTTTTTTAGTAAATTATTAATATGATGATATATATAATTGAGTTTATAGTATTTTTGTATGTTTTATTTAATTAATGTTATGTTTAATCCTATAATATATTTTCATATTGCTTCTAGTTCATTGTAGTTAATTTTATTATTAATTATTATAATAAATATAATGGCTTAGTAGAAATGCAAAAATAAAATAAATCATAGATAGCGGTAGGGAGATTGGATATGTAGTAATTGCAATAATATGAATTTTGCATTTAGAGACACATGTAATAGATGTCAAACATTGAAGAATCAAAAAGATAATGAAAATAAGGGATTCAAATCTGCATTGTTTTTAACAGAGAGCAATGGTGATATTCCACCAATATCTGATAGATCTAATAAATCTTCTGGTGAGATAAAAGATAATGGCAATAATAAGTTTTCATTTGATAAATTACCATCAATGGAACCAATTTTGAAATAAATTACAAAAGAGACATGTAAAAAACAATTAAATTAAAAGAATAAAAATATGATTTATTTGAGTTTGAATGGTAGTGCTAAAAATGTGAAAAGATTAATTAATACTATAAAATTCACTGTGCTGAATGCGGAGCTTAAAGGTACAGAAAATTAACAGTATGATTTTATTAACCTAAATCGGGGGTTTTTTTTGATAAAAATGGTTAAAATTCTCTTCTTTTTATTCTCAATTTTAGAAGGGGGTTAAAACAAAAGATAAACAATATAATAAAATAAATAATTTTTTACTTTATTAATAAAATTTAACTGTTAAGATAATGAAAGACATGTCCAAGAAGATCTTTGAAAAAGAGAATTAAGCAGAGGTGTCTAATAACCCTAGACATTAAAATAAATCTTTAACTTAATTGGTATCATTAACATAGATTGGTGGAAATAGAAGTAATAAATTAATATTATATATATAAGAAATGAATTAAAGAGTATAGAATTTAAAAATAATAATTCTACATCTATATTTCATCACGTCCATTAGTATTTTGTAAACCAGAACATAAATTAAAAACCTAAACACCTTCTTCTCCATAAAAATAATCACCTATAAAACCTAAATAAGTAGAAACACAATCAAATGAATTATGTAAATTAATAAACAATTATTCAGAACCTATATTAGATTATTATATAGAATTAAATGTAAATATTTATTATAATTATTAAAATAGAATTTAACACCAAAAAATTGTTTGTCTAATCACACAGTCAGTGCAAATCTTAGAGCAAAGATGGTTGATTGGATGGTTGAAGTACTTACTTCATATAAATGCAAAGATTAAACATTCTTTTTTGCTGTTAAATTGATGGATACCTATCTATCTAAAACATAATAAAAACATATACCTTAAGATTTACATTTAATTGGTGTGACTACTATGTTTATGTCTTGTAAATATGAAGAAATCTATCCAGTAAAATTATAAATTGTACATGAAAAAATTGCACATAAAAAATTAACTAAAGATGAGATTAAAGATAAAGAAACTAATATTCTAAGTACTCTAGATTTTAATTTGGTTGGTATTACTGTATTAGATGTAATTACTATNTTATTATTAATTATTATAATAAATATAATGGCTTAGTAGAAATGCAAAAATAAAATAAATCATAGATAGCGGTAGGGAGATTGGATATGTAGTAATTGCAATAATATGAATTTTGCATTTAGAGACACATGTAATAGATGTCAAACATTGAAGAATCAAAAAGATAATGAAAATAAGGGATTCAAATCTGCATTGTTTTTAACAGAGAGCAATGGTGATATTCCACCAATATCTGATAGATCTAATAAATCTTCTGGTGAGATAAAAGATAATGGCAATAATAAGTTTTCATTTGATAAATTACCATCAATGGAACCAATTTTGAAATAAATTACAAAAGAGACATGTAAAAAACAATTAAATTAAAAGAATAAAAATATGATTTATTTGAGTTTGAATGGTAGTGCTAAAAATGTGAAAAGATTAATTAATACTATAAAATTCACTGTGCTGAATGCGGAGCTTAAAGGTACAGAAAATTAACAGTATGATTTTATTAACCTAAATCGGGGGTTTTTTTTGATAAAAATGGTTAAAATTCTCTTCTTTTTATTCTCAATTTTAGAAGGGGGTTAAAACAAAAGATAAACAATATAATAAAATAAATAATTTTTTACTTTATTAATAAAATTTAACTGTTAAGATAATGAAAGACATGTCCAAGAAGATCTTTGAAAAAGAGAATTAAGCAGAGGTGTCTAATAACCCTAGACATTAAAATAAATCTTTAACTTAATTGGTATCATTAACATAGATTGGTGGAAATAGAAGTAATAAATTAATATTATATATATAAGAAATGAATTAAAGAGTATAGAATTTAAAAATAATAATTCTACATCTATATTTCATCACGTCCATTAGTATTTTGTAAACCAGAACATAAATTAAAAACCTAAACACCTTCTTCTCCATAAAAATAATCACCTATAAAACCTAAATAAGTAGAAACACAATCAAATGAATTATGTAAATTAATAAACAATTATTCAGAACCTATATTAGATTATTATATAGAATTAAATGTAAATATTTATTATAATTATTAAAATAGAATTTAACACCAAAAAATTGTTTGTCTAATCACACAGTCAGTGCAAATCTTAGAGCAAAGATGGTTGATTGGATGGTTGAAGTACTTACTTCATATAAATGCAAAGATTAAACATTCTTTTTTGCTGTTAAATTGATGGATACCTATCTATCTAAAACATAATAAAAACATATACCTTAAGATTTACATTTAATTGGTGTGACTACTATGTTTATGTCTTGTAAATATGAAGAAATCTATCCAGTAAAATTATAAATTGTACATGAAAAANTTATTATTAATTATTATAATAAATATAATGGCTTAGTAGAAATGCAAAAATAAAATAAATCATAGATAGCGGTAGGGAGATTGGATATGTAGTAATTGCAATAATATGAATTTTGCATTTAGAGACACATGTAATAGATGTCAAACATTGAAGAATCAAAAAGATAATGAAAATAAGGGATTCAAATCTGCATTGTTTTTAACAGAGAGCAATGGTGATATTCCACCAATATCTGATAGATCTAATAAATCTTCTGGTGAGATAAAAGATAATGGCAATAATAAGTTTTCATTTGATAAATTACCATCAATGGAACCAATTTTGAAATAAATTACAAAAGAGACATGTAAAAAACAATTAAATTAAAAGAATAAAAATATGATTTATTTGAGTTTGAATGGTAGTGCTAAAAATGTGAAAAGATTAATTAATACTATAAAATTCACTGTGCTGAATGCGGAGCTTAAAGGTACAGAAAATTAACAGTATGATTTTATTAACCTAAATCGGGGGTTTTTTTTGATAAAAATGGTTAAAATTCTCTTCTTTTTATTCTCAATTTTAGAAGGGGGTTAAAACAAAAGATAAACAATATAATAAAATAAATAATTTTTTACTTTATTAATAAAATTTAACTGTTAAGATAATGAAAGACATGTCCAAGAAGATCTTTGAAAAAGAGAATTAAGCAGAGGTGTCTAATAACCCTAGACATTAAAATAAATCTTTAACTTAATTGGTATCATTAACATTGATTGGTGGAAATAGAAGTATTAAATTAATATTATATATATAAGAAAATGAATTAAAGAGTATAGAACTTAAAAATAATAATTATACATCTATTTCATCACGTCCATTAGTATTTTGTAAACCAGAACCTAAATTAAAAACATAAACAACTTCTTCTCCATAAAAATAATCACCTATAAAACCTAAATAAGTAGAAACACAATCAAATGAATTATGTAAATTAATAAACAATTATTCAGAACCTATATTAGATTATTATATAGAATTAAATGTAAATATTTATTATAATTATTAAAATAGAATTTAACACCAAAAAATTGTTTGTCTAATCACACAGTCAGTGCAAATCTTAGAGCAAAGATGGTTGATTGGATGGTTGAAGTACTTACTTCATATAAATGCAAAGATTAAACATTCTTTTTTGCTGTTAAATTGATGGATACCTATCTATCTAAAACATAATAAAAACATATACCTTAAGATTTACATTTAATTGGTGTGACTACTATGTTTATGTCTTGTAAATATGAAGAAATCTATCCAGTAAAATTATAAATTGTACATGAAAAAATTGCACATAAAAAATTAACTAAAGATGAGATTAAAGATAAAGAAACTAATATTCTAAGTACTCTAGATTTTAATTTGGTTGGTATTACTGTATTAGATGTAATTACTATTGTACTATCTATTTTAAATATGAATCAATAGTTATATTAAATAACATTATATCTTGCTAAAATGGTAAATTATATTATTTTATTATAGGCACTTTATGACTATGAATTTATTAATAATCATACTTATACATAAATTGCATGTGCTGCATTGATTGTAAGTACTAAAATTGTAGAGTAAATTGATTAATCACTTTCATCTGAAGTAGTAATACCATTAATAGTTTCAACTTTAAAAATAGACAACTCTGTTGCCATGGATTCAGCTAATAAATTATTGAATTTAGCTAAAGGATTTGAAAAATAGTATCCTAATTTAGAAAATTTAAAGAAATTTAGTAAATTTCAATTATCAGATATTTTAAAAACATAACCATGACTAAATATATATATATATTTTACTTTGATATAAATATATTATTATTTTAAATGGTTTAATTGGCTTCCAATAGAAGTATGATGGTGAAAGCCATCAATTCTACCTGGAGCATAATTCAAACTTTATACTTTGCCATAATTCTCTTCTTCTTTACTCTTTTTGGTATGAAGAAAGAATCAAATAAATATTCAAAAGAGGAATTAAAATATATAATTAATGAAAGTAATGATTGCCATATATTATTTATAGAGATGCCAATCAAGAGAAAACCAAAGGATGATGAAGATGATAATGATAAAGAAGGAACTAAACCAAAAATTGTCAGAGGATTTGGTGGAGGAGCAGATTGTAAAAGCTGAGGCTGAACTATACTTTTATAAAAACAAAGGATTTTATAGTAGCATAATATAGAAGCTACTAGAAATGAAGATTTTCTTAAGAACTCCAGTTTTATTGGAATTAAGAAATCTGAGCAAATAAAAGCCTTTGTTTTAATATTATATAAATATTTAACATATTATTCTTTATATAATTATAATACTCGTTTTTTTATTAAAATTAAGTATACGCATTATCATTAGAATATTAAGATAATGTAATATATATTTTATATTAACTATTTAAAGAGTCAATAGTTTAAAAAGGAGTATTCTAAGAAAATTGGAAAATTCGAACTTTTTTTAAATTGGAGATTGAGATCAAAATATATAATATTATCAAGTTCTGAGAAAGGTGTGAGGCAAAGGGTAAAATTAAGGATATGATTAGATTGGTTAAAAAGGGTATGAATTGGTGGATACTGAATCGAATTCTTGTTTGACTTAAATTTAAGGTTTGGGGTCTAGAATCTATTTGAAGACCATCTAAGTAGAAAGCAACAGGTTTTGAAGGAGTGATTATTATACTAAAGTGGCCTTTTTAATTTGTGAAGTTAGAGCCTGGGTGAGTTTGTGATATTGGGATGATATGAGTTATTTTTATTCGTTAGTCAAATTTAATTGATCAATCAAAGAAGGTTGTTTATCTACATACATCTAGAATTTAAGAAATGAATATTACTTAAGTATTATCAGATTGAATACATAATGGTTGAATTTAGAGTGTAAGAGGATTCAATACTGATATTTTGAGTATACTCTACACTTTAAGCTTCTTTTTTCTGGTTTCTTTTTTCCCTATACGACCATCTTTCTCAAATGCTTTTTGAATTGTTCTGACTGTACAATATTTTAAATGAAGTTTGTTGGCTACCTAAAAATGAATAATCAAATAAACAATATATAGTAATATATAGATGATAAATATATATATAAGAAATATGGTGAATACCTCTTATAGTGATAATTTTTCTTTTAATAGCAACTCTAAGACAATTTTGCGCTATTCTTTGTCTATTTTTTGATATTTTTTGGTCTATTTAAGTACTTCTGAACATTCTTGTGATTTCACCATATATAAGAAGAATCTTTTGATTTTATTTATATTTATAAAAATATTTTAAAATCAAATCTGGGTTTTAATTTAAAATATGATTCATCATTGGTTATAATATATTAAAATGTTTCAAATCCAGATTTTGTTCATAAAAAGAGACTATATATGTATATGAATATTTAAAATAATGCAAACAAAAATATAGTAATTCAATTTATAGAGGATAAATCTAACTTATGTTTTATTTGCTTATGTTCACTAATACTCTTTTTTTATCTGTTAATATTACATGTAATTTTTTATTTATTACAAATAATATTGAAATTATTAATGAATTACTTACAATGATCATAATTCTATTCAGTTATTTATTATGAGATTGTCTTCTAATGTAATCTATTCTATTCTTTTTTTAAAATTGAACAAGTGTCAATAGTATTACTGAGATAACTTTCTTTATCAATAGGTAATTTTTGTTTACGAATGAAATCAACTAATTTAAGTGGTTATTTGCTAGAAATTGTTTAATGTTATTATATTTCATTATTTTCTTGTATCTTCTTCTTTAAAAATGTATTTTCTTCAATTAAATGTTTGTTTTATTCATTTAATATTGTAATTTCTTTCTTCAGTTACTAATAAATAAATAGAACTCATACATGAATCAAGTTCTTATTTATATTATTTTATTGAAATTATTCTAATTGTTGTTGGAGTTGTTCACAATATAATTTAATTTATTATTCAGTCTAATAATTAATATATATATTATACTCTTATATGCTTTCTGATTTCACTCTCATACTTTTAAACTTATTTCTCAAGTTCCTAATAATCTTGATTCTGTAAATTTTGGAGTATGGCATCTTTTATAAACAGAAGCTACGAATCTAAGTCTTTGAAAGTGTCTGAAGAAGGTCCTTCTAACTTATAAATGTGGTATTTTACTCATACCAGTTCAAGTATGTCTTTTAATATATTTTAAGACATTTTAATTATTTAAGATATGAATAGACGACTTATGCAAATGTTTAGCAAATAATTTGGTTAAATACCTAAATTCTATGCATCTAATGAACAACCAATTGTTTTAAGAAATGAAAAATCAGGTTATTATGTTAATCCAGAAGCTGTTGCTCGTCGAATGATAAAGGTGATTAGTTTACATGATGATGTTAAGAATCCTTCAGCAATCACCTTATAATCTACATGGAATGATATTGGTTTATCAGATATGGCATATGTAGAAGTAAATATCAATATATATATATAAATAAAAAAGGTTATGGTAGAAGTAGAAAGAGAGTTTGAAATAGAATTTCCAGATGCTGATGTAGAGTGTTTTAGAACTGTCAATGATGCTGTAGAATATGTAGCAAGGAGCTTCTTTGCTGTTTGATTTTAGCACATAAAATAAAATAAAACACAATGCTAATATTGTTTATTATTGGTGTGAGTGCTGTTAATGTCACGCTATTCTAAGCTGATTCTGCACTCTACTCTCCCTAATTTTGTCTCATGCGTAATTCGAATCTAGAAGGCAAAGATTGGTTAGAAACCATATTTGCATTATCAGAAAAGGGACGAATTTACAAAAGTGTAGATAATGGATATAAATGGAGTGATGAAACTCTTATTTTAGAGAAGATGGGAATAAATGATTGGTTTTATGAAATCTAAACATCTCCTGCTAATAAAGAAGTAGTTTATATATTTGGTAAAAATGGAACAGGAATAAGATCAGAAGATTGTGGATCACATTACACGTGGTTTACATTTCCAAGTTCTTTTTCTGATTTTAAATTGAATTCAATGGATGATGAATGGATGTTAGCATTTTCTAATTGTGAACGATGTCATCCTCCCTTTAATAAAGAAGTACATAAATCAAATGATGGAGGTAAAACTTGGTAATGGATTCTCAGTTCAGCTATGATGGCTTCATGGGATAAACTTATAGATAGTGAATTGATTCCAGATGAAAGAATTGTTGCATGTCATTTAGAATACAATTAAAGTAGAGTCACATATTCAGACGATTATTATAATTCATATAAGATTATCCATAATAATGGAACTGGTTTCTTTTAAACTTAATTTCATATGTTTGTAATATCTAAATTTTAATCTGCTTATAGATTACATGTAGCACCTGCATTTTATGATTATGCTCAAATGATCAATATATCCATTCCTTTTGATTAATAATACTCTTATACATTATTAGACACAGAATCAGAATCAATCTTTTTATCTATATCTCATAATTAAACCAATAAGAAACTCACTAATATTTATACATCTGATTTTTAAGGATTCAAATTCACCATTTCCTTATTGAATAATGTAAGATCCTTGAATACAGGTTAATGTGATTTTGAAAAGATTGAAAGTCTTAAAGGTGTTTATATAGCTAATATTTATGATCATGAAAAACTAAAAGTTGTAAAAGAATCTGATCTTGAAAAATATAAAAAAACTGTTATTACATTTGACAAAGGAGCCATTTGGCATCCACTTAAAGCACCTGAAACTGATGTCAATGGATAATAAATTCATTGTAGTGGAGATTGTTCATTACATCTTCAAGGAAGAAGTGTAAGTAAAATATATAGAGAATCTAAAGCAGTTGGATTGATTATGGCATCTGGAAATATTGGATTATATTTAGAAGAAAAAACTATTAATACATATTTTTCAAGAGATGGAGGTATGACATGGTATGAAGTAAGAAAAGGACATCATATTTATTCATTTGGTGATAGAGGTGGTATAATTGTTATGGCTAAGGCAAAATCTTTAACTGAAGAATTGTTGTATTCATGGGATGAAGGTTTATCTTGGGAGTCCATTAAGATTCCAAAAATGATTGTTACTTCTATTACAAGCAGAAGTTTGTATATCAATTTCATTATTACAGGAATTGATGAGAAAAGAAAAGGTATAATATTGAATGTTGATTTCACTACATTACATTAGCGTATTTGCAGTGGTATTTGGGATCCATTAGATCCAGATAGTGATTATGAATTTTGGATACCAAAAAATTATGAAAATGGTAAATGTCTTTTTGGATAAAAATTTCGTCATACTCGTAGAAAAAGGGATGCTAAATGTTTCAATCAATAATCATATGATAAATTATAATATATTGATTCTTGTGAATGTACAATAGAAGATTGGGAATGTGATTATGGATTTTATCATAAAATTGATGGTGGACCTTGTGTACCTATAGCTTCATTATTTGAAGAGGATTAATACATAGATATTTTAAAACCTCCTGAGAATTGTACTGGCACATATATGAAATCTTAAGGTTATAGAAAGATTGTAGGAGACTTTTGTACAGGAGGGTATTATTAATAATAAATATTATAAGTGTTGACTTGGATCCAATTGAAACACCATGTGAAGATGGATTACAATAAAGTTTATCAAATTAGACTTAAACATTAGCATAGAATTCTATTAAGAAAGAATAAATTTTTAATGAGACTGTGTAGGTTGAAATGAATGTTAATGTTGGAATTCAACTTAATAATTCAATTTATATAGGAATATTAATTATTTTGATTGCTTTCTTTGGTTTTGTGTTCTTGAAGAAGATGAAGGCTAAAGAGAATTTAGATATGAAGAAAGATTATTATTCTAATTTTGAGAGAGGAGAACGTATTAGTTTAAGGGAAGATGATGATGGCATTTGATTATTTTAGTGTTTTTAAAATTTAATAGAAAATAGATAAAAATATTTATAATAAAAGGTATAATGATGTCAGCAATAATTTAGAAGAAAAGATTATAATATGAGGAAGAAAACCTGATAGAAAATGCAGATTAACTTCCTCCTAATTGTTCTTATAAAAAGATGTCTGATCTTGCTTATGTAGTATAATATATTGGTGAGAAAGGTACTCTATTTGAAGGTAATTAAAATATAATTATTATTTATTATAGGAGCATATATTGTAGTTGATATTGATTTAAGTGGTAGTAATGGATCTCTTGGATTTCCAGAATAGTGTCCAAAAATTACATTCCGAAATAATTTTTAGCATCTGAATGTTGATTAGAAAGGATAATTATACATGTATCTTACTAATAAGGAAACCTTTTGTAATGGTACTACACTCTTGGAAATTTAACAATATTATTTATAAGTATGTAATTATTAAGATTTAATAGTCCGTCATATGTGGAACCAGCAAATATAAGTCTTCTTGAATTACAACATATAGGTATAGAGTATAATGATTGGGTGTAAGAACAAAGTAAGAGATTGAGGGATTTAAAATATAAGGTATTATGATAATGATTTATAATCAAAATTTGGATATTTCAAGTCTTGTAGAATTATTGGAAAAAGCGAATGACTTTTTATTATCTGATCTTTGTGAGTATATTGGTGATGGGAGTCTTGTTACTGATTTAGGTAATACATTAACAAAGGTATTGAGTTTTTTTGAATTTAATTCATCTCTCTATTCGAGATTGGATACCATTAAATCCATTAATTATTTTTATGCTTTTTAATATTCTTTATTTTATCTTAATGCTGGATCCATTCTATCAAAGATTGTAGTATTATAGGAATTTAAAATTTAAGTATTACGTTTAATGAATTTTGGAGATAGACCTGCTTCATCAGTTTATAGATTCAATAATTTTTTAGGTATTTATAATTATTATTATACTTTTTGATGTCTTAATTTCATTTAATATTTTTATTAATTTAATTGTAATTTCTTTAAATCATGATTCTCCTTCATAATTAATTAGGCTTAATCTTTTTATGTATTATGATAATCAATTTTTTGAAGTTCAATATATTCTTATAATTTACTATATTATTATTATAATTTTTCTAATTGAATATCTGATACTGAGATTGATTTCATTAAACTTTTAGTAACAGGCATTTCTTTGTGAACTTCCCATTCAGCAGCAATTATTTTTCTAGCAGTTTCTTTAACTTAATCTAAAGTTAAACATTTTTCAAAAGTAATTGATTCAATTTTTTAATTAAAAACTTAATCAATAGATTTAATTTGATTAGGATGTTCAAGTTTATATAAAGTTTCTTCTAAACCTCTAAGATGTTTTTATAGATCAGTTTCTACATTCATTTAATCTAATTTATAATCAGATAGACTTCTTAAGTAAATTAATTTACTTAAATAACTTTGATTTTCTTAATGTCTCCTTCTCTTATGTTTATGTGGTTTATTGATAAATCTCTATGTATTATCTTTACTACATGATGGAGTATTGGGCATAAATAAACTTCCATCTCTAGTTGCTTCTTTTGAGATATCTTTCATAATTGGTTTAAAATCACTTTTAGCTCTTGTATGATGATATATATAAACATTCTTATTATTGATATCAAATTTAGTTTAATGAGGGAATTATTATTTTGATTTGAAATTGTGTTTTTTTTCAAATCCATATAAGAATGATACAAATTAATTAAGATCCTATTATTCAAGAATGATTTATTCATATTTTTCATGTTTGTATTCATATTCATATTTAATATAATTAATTAATTCTTCTTATTTACCAACAAATGTTAAAATATGTTAACATAAATAATTAGCCATAGATATGAGTAATGCAGATTCATCATATTTATCTTTGTATTCTAATGATTTACTTTACAAATCCAAATTAATAATTAATAATTATGCATAATGTTTCATTTATCTCTTACATTTATTCTAATCTGATTTTGGACGATAGTATTCACGTAAAGAATTAATTAACATATTAGATAGAGGATCAAAGTATTGATTATGAAAATTATAAGAATTCTCAAAATAAGCTGAATGGAGTAGAGTGAGAGCTTCATGATAAATAGTAATTGATTTTTATGTTTTAACAAATTTCAGTTGTATAAGTTTATGTAAAAAACGAGTAGCTTCTTTGAGATTGGTCATTTTGAAATATAAATAGTTGAACATTAAGATTTATTAAATGGAAATGAAAAGTTCTTATTCATGATATCTCAACCATATAAGTGATTTCTTATCCCATGGTTCATGTTCAAATTCAATTAAGAATTATTTGAGTTTAGAATTACCTCTAGGTGATTGCATATCTCCTAATAATTTGAATTTATTCTTTCTGTTGGAAGGATTTTCATGCTCAGTTAGAACATCTTAACATTTGGCAATATAATTATTCATAGTATGACATAATTACATACATTAATCTAATTATGTTAAGATTCGACCTTATTTTGAATTGAACTTAAGAAAATGTTTACGCATAACTTTTAATCGACAATATAACAATCTACGTATTAATTACATTTAGAGTTATATTCCAGGTAATTCACTCTATTAATAATGTTGTGTTAAGTGTTTTTCAGAGATGTTTATAAAGCATTTGTATTTTCCTTTACGTAACATCCATTATGTTTCATAAATATGATATTCTAAAACTTACATCGATTATTTTCTCAAAAAATAATTATTCTTTTAATGAAGAAATTATTATTCAATTAATTAATTAGATTTAAATATATTATACTAATCTTAATTACTAATTTCAATTTATCATACTCCTTTAACTTATTCCCATTCTTCATCTACTTTTACATCCTTTATCTTTTCTAATTTTGTTTATTAGACATACTTTCTTCTCTATATTATTTTTCTTATTCCTAAAAATAACATCAACATAATTAAACATGTCACTATAACCATTATAATAATGTAATCCCTATTTATATTTTATTTCTAATCCTTACTATTAACATTAAACATATTTTAAGTTTCATTATATATCAAATTACTTTTATAAAAATATGTATATGGTGTATCATATCCCTAATAGAATGCTTAGAACACAATTAAACCATATAGTATTTTCTCATCTTAAGGTATTGGTACTAAATTTATTAATATTTAATATGATACTTTCAAATTAAACTATATCATTCTCTTCTTTTATTGTTTACATTTATTTAATATGATACAATTGACTATTTGTATAATATTTTAGAGATTCAATATCCATTTGACATCCAAAGGCATTCAAAAATTGTTCTTAATTTGAATAATGTAATTGATAACTACAAATACAATTAGATACTTACATAAGCATTCTGAGATCTAAAATACCAGTTTTATTTCTTTTCATAGTATCTACAGTAATTTTCAATGTTTGATCTTCTTACTTAATTTAATAAGTCATAGTTTTATTAAAATACCAAATATCATGTGAATATTAAAGATGTGGTATCAAACTATAAATATTCTTCTTTATAGATAATCCATTCTTTGTATAACTTGCAAATAAAGTTGGAGTTACATTAAAATAGATATCACTAGAATTTTTAAATTGATAAGAACTAATATTACTTTCAGTTTATCCTAAACAATCAATCTTTTCAATTAATAATTCTTATCCCTTTATACCATAAATGTTGTAAATTTAAGTTGATTTTATTTATTCAATATAATGTTAATTTGAATCTATATATTTCAATCCTTCCAAATTTAATGTAATACTATATTGACTCTAACAATATAAGTTAATTTGATAATAGTAATCAACACTAGGTAATTAATATTACAATTCTAATTATGATTCTCTAATACTCCATTCTTATATTGGATTAATTAATATAAATTCTGTAATATTCTTTGATAAATAAAAGAGTTCCACTCTTATTTAAGAATTAGAATTCACAATTAAAGTGTACCATTAATCTGTTGTAATGGGAGTAAATGTAAATTAATTAATATTCTATTCAATTGTATTATTACCTTTGTAGGATTTCCCTAAATGCAAATTAATTAAATTCTATTCACTCTACAAACTCAACCAATATGAAGCAATTAAATTAGTATTTACAATTTTAAGTGTATATGATCCATTAATAGGTATTATGTGCTGAGAATTACTAAGATTCATACTTTATATTAAGGTATCTTAATCATAAAATTACAATTCAATATTTTAAGAATAAACATAGATATTTAAATCTCCAGATTTTACTTAATATTTACAACTCTCAATACATTAATCATAGTATATCCTTCCATACTCAATATCTAAAGCCTTAGAATTATATGCTATTAATAATTAGATTTCAGTATTCTTTAAAGGTTTTAAGGCAATTATATAAGTGCAATAATAACAAAAGTATTTATTTTATTAATTAATCTAAATGATTCCACCAAAAAGATTATCATTGTGTTCTTAAAGTATTTAAATATCATCTGTTCCATAATAAGGTAGAAGTTCATAAAGACCATCATTATCATCACTATATGAAGAATATGTATTGATGGCCACATCAATGTTATTAATTCCTTGAATCATAATACGGAAGGATTAATTTTAGATATGTTAATAGAAATAATAAACAGTTTGATTTATTTGATGAGTTACAAATTGTCCATTAGATATATAATACAATTCAATATCTGCAAAATTTAAAAGTAATTCATATGTACATTTCTTTTTAAATCCAGGAATTCCAATCATATATGATCCAATATTATCAGATTCTTTTATAATTAGAATATCTGATTTATAAGACATAGATTTATATGTATTAGTATCTTCAGTTGGATATGATATAGTGTTATTAATTAATTTATTCACATAGATATCTGGATCACAATTATCTATAGGTCTAACTGCTATTTGAATAAATTCTACAGGTTTGTCAACATAGAAATAATAATAAGACATAATATTCTCTCCAGAATGTCCTATTAACATTTCTCCATTTTTTATTATTGTATATTAAGTAGATATCATTATATTAAAATATCCATCCTCACCATTTACTGTTGAGATATTATTATATGACTTATCTTAGATGTATGAAAATAATGATTATAAATCTAATTTAACATTTATCAATAATACACAACCTTATAAATAATTCTAACATATTTCTAATTATTCTCTATTTATTATTAATAATTTATTGGAAATACTTGTATTAGCCTCCTCTTTGATATCATAACTAGATGAGTTTGGGAATATTAAATGATTATTATTTCTTAAATCTTTTGAAACAATTGCATAATCTTGGATTGTACAAAATAAAATAATTTCAGAAAATTGAGTATATGCTTATATTTAAATAGTGTTATTGATATTCTTAGGAACTAGGAAATACAAATTAGATGATTGATATTATTCAAATGAAGGAATGGGTACTTATTAAACAGTATTATCTAATAATTCTATTATACCAGATACTCCTCGAATTAATAATGAATATTCATTGTATCCAATACTATATACACCAATATACACAATAGTATTTTCAGTGATATTTAATAAAGTCAAGTATGTAGAAGAATAATATATAGTATAATCATAATTTTAATGATTTGGGAATTTATTATTCAAGCTAATGTAAATTTAGAGATTGTTATCTTCATTGATTTCAGTAATTTATGTTTTAATAATAAATAACTTTTCTAATGCATATGGAGATTAATAATAATAATAAGATTAATGTTAATTGTCCAATTATGTAATAAGAGGTTCTCCATAAAATAATTCCATTAGGGAACTAGAGGAAGTGTATTGAATTTCATAGGATTCATTAAGACCTAAAGATATTGAGTTGACTTGAATATAATAATACTGTTAAGGATTTTCAATGATGAAAGTATGTTATGAACTTCTAAATGCAAAATCATATCTACTATTATTTGGATATGTATCACCTATAATTCCATTTGAACCAATAATATAACATATGAAATAACCATAGATTCCATTTAAATGAATATACAAAGGACCTTTCTATCTGTATTCAAAATTAAAGTAAGTAGCTTAATCTATTTTAGTTTGTAAATGAGTATATGATATACTTTCAGTGAGATGAATGTAATTGATATCTTCATGTGATTTTCTATATACAATAGGAGTAATGGAATATCTAAGTAATGACTTGGCCATTATTCGAATATAATATTATCCAGATAAATTTTGTGTTTCATTTTCTATCTTATATTATAAGACATCCAATTCCATATTGGCATATCTATCATAGAAAGTAGAATTTGGTTTATCATACAATCTTGAAGCATAAGCATCATATTCACCAGTAATAGCTGTTATTTAGAATACTACTTCAATTAATTCTTGTTCATCATTAATTGTAAATGAATATAAATCTGTATTATATTCCATTAGAAAACTACGATGAGTTGTTGATTCTGTTAATTCAACATGTTATTCTTATCCTTTAATAAATATTTGATAATTCATATATTCAACATTACTGTAAACTCCAACTACATATTAACAATTTGTCTATATATTCTCATAATTAAGCATTGTAACATTATTCTCACAATCAGTTTTATTATAATAAAATTATAATGTATTTTCAGCTGAATATAATTCTGAACTACCTGATTTTAGTATTTAACCTATTTAAATTTTTTCTATTTATTCTTTAGTTATTGAACAATTATAAAAATTATCAGGTCCTGCATTTATAATATATGCATAAGAATTTGTCACCATACTTAATTCAGTATTGTTCTTTATACATTTCTTGAATATGATCATACCATGTCCTGTAGGATATTTAGCAGTTATTGTAAATGTTTAATTGAGTTCATTAAATATTCCAATATTATATTCTGCTAATTCATTCTTTACCAAAAATCCAGATTCAAATGAATATATTGATAATATTCTACTATAATAATTACTCAAATAAGCTAAAAATGAATAACTAGAAAATTCATCAACTCCATTTATAGCTATTATAAATTCACTCCCATTTCCATTAATAAGTCTATTATTTCTAGATATTGTTATTGATTCATAACCTAAATCTAATTGTGATTACCATGGATACTATTTATAATCCAATGTACATTCACCTTTATAACATGGTGATATATAAACATCAGGATTACCTTCAAATGGATGAATATCAAAAGATAATGAATTTCCATCCAAATATTCCAAATATTCTTACTAAATTGTTAATTTGTAATAATTTGTTTTCCTTTCTATTACTAAATCATCTATTCTTTCAAATAAACCAATCTCTCTAATCCCTATATAAACTGTTGATATAAAATATAATCTAGTATTGGGTACACCTAACATCAACACTGTCAAATTCCCTTTCAAATTTGTACTATTTTTATATATTACTATTCCTTTTCCTATCCTCCAAATCCCCTCTGCCTCATAATCAAATAAAATAGGAGATGGTGTCTCATTACCTTCATTGATATAAAAATGAAAAGACTCATTCAGTATTGTATTCCTATCCTCTATATAATGAGCTCTAATTAGAATTCTATCAATTTCATCCATTGAACTTGGCAAACCAATTTTCAATATACTTTCTGTTTCATTATCAAATTTCACTATCACTGCTTCTCCTAATTATAAGACTTCTTCCTCTTCATAATGAATTGTTAATTCATAATCACAATCCTATAAACAATATACTCCTAAATAATAAGTTGTATTAGCTATCAAATTCTCTTCTTCTATAATACATACATCCATCCCCTTATTCCCACATAACTCATCATATATTGTTGGACTAATTAAACAATCACAAATACTATTGATTCACCTTACTTATGTAAAGTGAAGGGTATGAGCTTTGATCATGTAGAGCCCTAAGTACAACACATATATCCTCATTAGGTATTACGTTTTCCACATGAAACTTATAAAAATGAACTGGGTAAAGAACTGATGTTGATGCACCTGGAACTTTACTAAAATTCAATTTTTAAGACATCAATACCCATAAAATTCGTATTGTTTCTCCATTTCCAATTCTAATATTTCTTAATCATATTGCTATGATAATGTCAACTAAAATAGCAAGATCAATATTAACATAATAAAATGAATAAACAAGTATAATTTAAAAAAAACATATTAAATGGGAACACAATTTCTTTTAAGAAGTCAAGAGAACATATCCTATGAGAGCAATCATAAATAATGTAAAATACATGGAAATGCTAATTTGAATAAGAGATTTCAAACTGAATAGATGACTGTATGATAATTATTAGATTATTATATGAATATTTACTCTAAATTATACAATATCATCTCTATATCTAAAATAGAATTATCCTATCATAGTAAGGATCAAGTAGAATTGATCTATGAATCTTATCCATTTATATAGAAAAGAATTACAAGTGGGTATAATTAAGATTGAATGTTTAATCACTTCAATTTAAAAGGTATAAATAAACTAATAAGACAATTTCATTTCATAAAGTTAAGAGAATACTTTAAACTTATATAAATTAATGATTTATAAATTGTATTTATATTAATATTCTAAATAAATCATTATTAATTCTATTGCACTTATTTCAGAAAATGTTCTAAATGCTTTGTTTATTATTTTAAAAATTGCATCTCAGATTCCATTCGTTTTTCTTCTAATTCTCTTATTTCCTTAAAACTTCTCTAAATAGCATCTAGTTCATTCTCCAATAAGATTTTTTGATTTTCTAAATAAATTTTCTTTTTGTCATAATCTGCAATTTTAGAATCCTATTCACTTTTTCCAATTTCAGATTCTGCTGCCTTTCTATTACCAAATACAACAGATCCAGCATATAATGTTTAATATGCTGCAAATGTTAATTTCAAATTATCATATACTCTCATTAATAATAATCCTCTTTCTGGACAATTGATAGCACTCTATCTAATGATCTCTTCAAATAATTAACTATGTAAATCTTCTCTTACTGGACATATACCACTCTTACTATAATATTTGCAATTAAATTCTACCGAGCCTATCTCTCAATTAATCTTTAATCTAATTCTGCTTCCAATTAATTTAATTCATCTCTTTTTACATCATTAACACTAACAACTTATTTAAAATAATGTCCTTCATGTTCAAATCTTCTAGGAGGAAAGAATTTATTCAATATTTCATCTATAGACCATTTTTGATCCAAAGGTTACAGTTATTATTTTTTTTTTTAATTTAAGACTTGTTCTTGCATTTCAAGTTACATTTCATCTTCATTTATTTCAATTGGCTCTTCATATCTCACTAAAGTTGGCATATATTTCGGATATTTTTTTAAGGTTTCTTCTGTTTATGACATATTGAATTTATATATATATATAAATAATAATAATATATATATATGTATATTTAAAAAAAACAAGTAATTATAATTAACAAAATCACAACAATCCCAATTCATTCAATATTTAGCTCATAATTTGTATGATTTTGGATTATTCAGCATTATTCACACTTGAAATAAGGCAAACAAGGAATGCATAATCATCATCACTATAGATCCTATTAGAAACGATCAAGTCAGTTATTTTATTCTTAAAAAGAGGATCTGCTAATTATGGTATTTTTTTAGCAATGCTTTCCCAATCAATATCATATTGTATTTCTTTCTTTTGTGGCCGTGGCTGCACTTATTAAATTGAAGTTAATTACTTATTGGACAAGTCTTATTGATTAGACTCTTATCCACTCTTCTAAAGAATAGGGCTGGATTCAAAGTGGTCTTATTCTTGTTATTCATTTCTTGGATTCTCTTTTTACATTTTTCAAAATTCTTTTGATGTTCGGTATTAGTTGTTTAGACTTTTTTAAGAAAGTAGTTATTTTTGAATTTCTCAACGGATGGTCGTTTTTATTGAATTTTTTATACCTTATCAAATGTATTGAGGACTTCCTTGTATTGATCCAGAAATTTGAAAACTGGAGATGGAGTTCGACGAAGTAATTTACTGCTTGAATTAGTTTAAGAGAGAGTGCTCTTGGCAGTCTCTACATGATGAAGATGTTGAAGCATCTATTATAATATAATTCGCCGACCTCCTAGATTGCGTTAATCTGGAGAGAACACCTTGCTCATTAACGATTTTAATTAATTAACAAGATGATTATAATTATGCCAGCCTATAAAAGCAACTTAGAAGTGTAAATCAAATAAGATTAGAAATAAGGGATGGGTCTAATAGATCATGAATAGACAGACACGTTCCCAGTGTGGAAATTTCGAGGAAGTTCAACTACTATATATGAGGAGAGTAATAATGAAATGCAATTTAAAGATCAAGTGTATACCGAGAGCACTGAGATGTAGCCTAATAAGAATGTGCTTTTGAAAGTGAGTAAATAAAGTAAAGCAAATACATATATAATCATTATTAGAAAATCATTATGAAATCCTGTTGTCTGTAATGCAGCCTCCATTCATGGTTGTTAAAGATATTAAATCATCCAATGGATCTGAATATCCTCTTGTAGTTAATTCCATTATTCGCTTGGGAAGAGTGTACTAATTATACACTATTAATTTAAAGTGAGTACAAGGTCATAGAGGAACGTAATAAACACATGTAGACCTTTAGAGCTCCTGGCTCCATTAAAGTATTTAAATTAGACTATCAAATTTTAGTCCTCCTTCCTCAGTGATAACAATCTGACATATTAATGTAAGTTTTGTTTCATGGAAGGAAGACAGAGTAAGGATCAACTCTTTCTAACTAATATCTGTCGTTGTGCAGGTAATGGATAAGCTGTTCATTTGGAATGTCTACGTTATTGGGTAGATTCCAACATTATCAAGGAAGAAACACAATTTGGCTTGACTCTTAAATGGTTATTTTTATACATCATAATAGGAACAAACAACATGAATGTTCCATTTGTAAAGAAGGTCTTCCAATACGTGTTCAATATGAAGATGAATATTTTGATCTTTTTACACTTGACAGACCTGATTTGTAATACATTCTTGTTGAAGTACAGTTCCATCATTATTATTAGAATATCAATAAGGAGAAGAATTTATGCAATGAAATCTATTTAATCCATAGTCTTCTTATTGACAATATTAAAATTGTAATTCAATTAACCCATATTCAAGGGGAGAGGATTCTAATGTGATATCAAAGCATAAGACATCACAGTATCTAGACATCATGCTACAATTAAATTGACTGATGGTAACTTTGTGATTTAGGACAATAAAAGTAAATTTGGGACTTTGGTATCTATAGACAAGAAAATATCTATTGATTGTGCTGCATGTAGTTTGTAAATTGGCAAAATACTTATCAATCTTATTTAATCAGATTAAATTTAAAAAGGTAAGGTTAAATTAATGTAGGTGCTCCTTCAACCTAACACAAACTTACTTAACTACCTTAAATAAATAAATAATTAGAAGAAGATGAACCCCAAATGGATGATGATTCTTTTCAATTAGAAAATAAATGAAAATGACTTTTATATTATTTTAATTATATTTTTATCTTTTTCTTGTTATAAATATATATAATCTTAATTTTATGTAAAAAGCTAGCATTTTCAACAGGAATTTCAAATTGCTCTTTAATAAAAACAAATACTAAAATTTGACAGGTAATATTAAGAAATACATGATTGTAGCTCAATAAGGACATAATCAAACTCATCTTGGATGGGTGTCTCCAGTAGATTACAGATTTGGAAGAACCATGTTGTATATTACTTGTGCAATTGGATTCTTTTGTGCATATATGGACCCAGGAGTCTTACATGAAACAGTATCATTCATAATTAATTTTAGTTTGGACATTTCAAATAACCACCCAAATATGTATTGGTAAGATTTCTGCATTAATCATTTAATAGGGATTTGGAAAAGGACTTGAAGGAGATGAGAAGAAGTTGAATCAATAAATATTGGACAGACATCATGCAGAAGAATAATTAGAGCATTTCAAACACAATATCACCTAATATGATGGTAAATGATTTAATACAAACAAATAATATACATAAATGAATAATTAAATAAATTACAAATATCGGATAACAAACAAAATCATTCACTGTTATAAGAGTTACTACAATACTTCTCTAATAGGCTTTGATCTCTTCCTAATTGCTTTTACAAGTGTGATAGCATCTTCTAGAGAATAATTTAGATCCAATACTAAATAGAGTATGACTGTTTATATACTCCTCTATATGCCATCAGTACAATGAATATAAACACATTTACCTTGATCCATCAATTTCTTCAAGATTTAATGAGCTTGCATTCCTTTTTTTAAAAATGATCTCTTATTACAATCTTGTATAGGACAATGTGAATATGTTATTTAATAAGATTAACAAGATTTTTAGATGTGATCAAAGTAATCCTCTTGTAAATCTTTATTTATCAGATCTTCAGTGGTTTATAAATTAATTATGGCTTCAACTCCTAGTTTCTATAGAATGTGAATTTCACTAAAAACTTATTTTTGAATTGTTACTCGCTATAAAGGAATGAACCAACATAGATGTTGTCCAATAATTGATTATAATTGAGAGCAAAGTCTACATCTGAATCTATGATTTCAATAACATTATTAATAATAGGATGTTAAGTAAATACTCTGATTCCACTTCGTTCCCACATTTGATTTTATTGGTATTTATATGCATAGGAATTAATGGACTTACTTGGAATATCTAATTCCATTCTATATTCATATTCATTCTCTTCGGTCATGATTTAATCAAGTCTAATTTTAGATCTTCCCTTTTCTGAATATAAATTTACAAACATCTTAGAATCAACATATGAGTTAACTTTCATTCTTATTTTGATATGGTTCCAAGCATCTTTTACATCATCTTGGGAATTCAAAACTCTACTAATTCCATCTTCCCATTCTACAATCTATCGATTATTTTATTTGACTATCACGTATCTATAATTCATGGGTAAACAACAACAATCAACTTTAGCTCTCCAAATATCTCCTGGATTCCATTCCATTTGAATTCCATTTTACACATTCCATTATACTAAATGACAATCACCAACAATTAAAATAACTTCCCCATAATTTACGTGTTTTTAAATGGAAATAGAGCTCATTTTGTTTAAATATATATTTATCAATCATTTTATTAAATAAATCTAACCTAAATATCGATTTCAAATATATCATTAATTTCAAAATTATTAATAATAATTCACACTTATTATTACTCATTATGAATATTCTAATTATGCTAATATCTCGTATTATAGAATACTTATATAGAAGATCTTAATGTATTAAATCATTATCCATTGATTATTAAAACATATGATGGTTTAAGTTATAAACTATACTTACTATTTTATGACGAAAAAGATTTTATTTTATTAAATGAGACATTAATCAAATGGATAAAAAATATTTATTGAAGGATCAAACCTTTTGTTAACAGATGATTCAATTCATTCATTTAGACCAAGATTCTCAAAATATAAGAATTTTTATACAAAAAAACCAATCTTTGAATATCATTATGTGACTCCAACATAAAAACATGCAAAAGAAATTCTTGATAAAATATGTTATGTGAATAAAAAGGCTTTGATTAATGAAAGACCAGAATCATCATTTTAAAAAAGAAAAGATTTTTCTATTGATTAATGTTTAACTACAAGAGGATCAACATAGCGAAAATATATTAGAATTAAATCAATAAACAGATCTAATATTTAAAACAAATTATCAGATTAAGATTGGTTAGCATTTATATTGGATTGAAAATTCTATAATCTCACTTGAATATTTTGATGAATATGTTTTTTTAAGTTTAGATAGTAATATTGTTGCAATTTCTATTGCTTTTTATACTTTATTAATCTATTTAATAGATTAAATTGAGTGATAATATTTAAATCAAAAATATTCAAATTATTCTCCAGCTGACATTCTTAATGCTTATTGTTCCTTCAAAGTTCTTAATGATTTATTCAATAATCCAATTGTTTAAGAGACTACATCTCTATCAGAATCCCTAAGAGTAATGATCCAAATCATTATCGTTATGATCTAGAATCTTAGTAATCCTAAGCCTCTTATTCACAAATAGTGAATCGATCATCTCTCGATTATTAGAGCATTTCTAATCTCTAATTCACATTATCGAGACTAGCTAAGGTCTATTCGATCACTTCATTTACTCTTGAAATATATGATAGATATAATACAATGCCAAATCAGATATTGCTGATGCCAAAGTACTTTCAGTAGTATTAATTGAAATGACTAACAAATTTCTAGTCTTTTAATATGCTTGAATTCTTTTTTCTTCTGAGAACTTCTCAAGATCCATAGAATCATGAACTTATTCTAATAATTAATCAATAAGTAAGATGACATTTTCAACTTATGCTGAATCTTATAATTAATGAACTCTAGAAGTAATGGTTGCTAATGCTTTGAATATTTTACCCCAAAATGTTCTATAAGTGAATTTACCTATTATTTTAATTAATGAGTACTTGCTCTTTTAATAGATGCTCCAAAATGTTTTTATAGTAATTCTATACCATTATTATTCAATTAAATAAATGATTATCATGTGTTTATAGATTCTCTGAGAATAGTGTTCTAGCCTACATCAATATAGCATAACATCTTCATGTTCATAAATTTTATGTTGATTCTCTTCATTTTCTTCTTCTCTTTTTATTTCTAATTCATTTAAGTCTTCTTTGAATTCTTTAAGCTCCCCTTATTTTTAATTAATTAATTTCTATAAAATTTAGAGTTCCCATTAATCTTTCAATGGGTTCTTAGGTTTACAATTATAAGTAAATTGTATCAAGAAGAGTGTGACCAAATCTATTTTGATCTAGTTATTCAATTTAGTATTTCATATCAATATCTTCTAATGCATAGTTTAACATTAGAAGTAATGACAATATTACAAATTTGTTCACATTTTTCATAAAAATCAAATATTATATATATAATTATATAATTCATTTATTTTATTGAGGTTCTGCCATTACTGAAATTTCACCATCATTACATCCACAAATGAAAAACTTCTTATCCTTTGAGCAAGATATTGATAATACAGGGGATTTAGCTGATATTTAAAATCTCTTTAATTATTATAAATAAGGCAAAGATCTTCTAACCAATTCACCATTTTCAGTACCATATACCTATATATGTATATATATTATTAATTACCATAATATCTGAGAATAAATTATTTCTCATAATTTAACAATCAATTAAAGATGAACTCTGTTCTTATTAGACTTCCAATAAAAATCCATTAATAGAATAACTATAGAGTTAATGATCATATGCTGAATAAAATACAATACAAAATAGAGGTCTATTACTCATAATAATTGAATTAATAGGATTCTTATTTGGATGTATGAATGATCTCATCAATTATCCATTATATAAATTATATAAATAAATGTAACCACCTGTGCATCCAGTAGCAAATAATTTCATACTAGTAGAAACATAAATACAATTAATCTAAATTATAATTAATTATATAAATTACTTAATTCTAATGATCAAAATACATACATTTAGCATGTAATTTATAAATATCCTTTTATTTATCAACATTCCATAAAATGACATGTCCACTCTTATCTCCAGAAATAATTATTGATTCTTTTTTATCTGAAGCTAATGTTGTAATAGTTGAAGTATGTATTTAATAGATATCAATAATTTGATTATTATCACCTATGATAATTAATTTACCTAAATGATAACCTCCACATANAATTTACCTATTATTTTAATTAATGAGTACTTGCTCTTTTAATAGATGCTCCAAAATGTTTTTATAGTAATTCTATACCATTATTATTCAATTAAATAAATGATTATCATGTGTTTATAGATTCTCTGAGAATAGTGTTCTAGCCTACATCAATATAGCATAACATCTTCATGTTCATAAATTTTATGTTGATTCTCTTCATTTTCTTCTTCTCTTTTTATTTCTAATTCATTTAAGTCTTCTTTGAATTCTTTAAGCTCCCCTTATTTTTAATTAATTAATTTCTATAAAATTTAGAGTTCCCATTAATCTTTCAATGGGTTCTTAGGTTTACAATTATAAGTAAATTGTATCAAGAAGAGTGTGACCAAATCTATTTTGATCTAGTTATTCAATTTAGTATTTCATATCAATATCTTCTAATGCATAGTTTAACATTAGAAGTAATGACAATATTACAAATTTGTTCACATTTTTCATAAAAATCAAATATTATATATATAATTATATAATTCATTTATTTTATTGAGGTTCTGCCATTACTGAAATTTCACCATCATTACATCCACAAATGAAAAACTTCTTATCCTTTGAGCAAGATATTGATAATACAGGGGATTTAGCTGATATTTAAAATCTCTTTAATTATTATAAATAAGGCAAAGATCTTCTAACCAATTCACCATTTTCAGTACCATATACCTATATATGTATATATATTATTAATTACCATAATATCTGAGAATAAATTATTTCTCATAATTTAACAATCAATTAAAGATGAACTCTGTTCTTATTAGACTTCCAATAAAAATCCATTAATAGAATAACTATAGAGTTAATGATCATATGCTGAATAAAATACAATACAAAATAGAGGTCTATTACTCATAATAATTGAATTAATAGGATTCTTATTTGGATGTATGAATGATCTCATCAATTATCCATTATATAAATTATATAAATAAATGTAACCACCTGTGCATCCAGTAGCAAATAATTTCATACTAGTAGAAACATAAATACAATTAATCTAAATTATAATTAATTATATAAATTACTTAATTCTAATGATCAAAATACATACATTTAGCATGTAATTTATAAATATCCTTTTATTTATCAACATTCCATAAAATGACATGTCCACTCTTATCTCCAGAAATAATTATTGATTCTTTTTTATCTGAAGCTAATGTTGTAATAGTTGAAGTATGTATTTAATAGATATCAATAATTTGATTATTATCACCTATGATAATTAATTTACCTAAATGATAACCTCCACATATAAATAGTTTTCCTTAATTAAATACTAATAAAGGGTAAGAAGATAATTATGCTGATACATCCCAAATATTAAATAGTTCAGTTTAAGGTTTTTCAAAATTAAATTATTTTTCTCTTTCTAATCCACATTAGAATGGTGGTTAATTAGCTTGAACATCAGTTTGACTTGACCATTTAAGATAATCAATTTTACCCTCTTTTCTTATACATATCAATCTTACATCTGAAATCCATTTAATTTTGACAATTGCTCTATTACTAGCTTATTACAAATCAATAATTGGTTTCATAGTATTAGGTACTTTCTTTTTATTTTATGGTCTATAAACTTTTAATTCTTATGAATTGGAAACAAAATGATGTTCTGTATTGATTTATCTACCAATATGTGGTTTTAAGAATAATTATAATGGAGTAATTCCAAAATTAACAACTTAAGCTTCTATACTTAATCTATTTTCTTCCATCATTTATAAAGTAAGTTATTAATCATATGTTACATAAAAGTAAATATTTAAATTTTTTTCTGCTTCTTTACCTCTCTATTTAAATCCAAATATTAAATCAATCCATTCAGGAAGATTCCTTTATATTTCTTCACTTTCTAATGCACATCTTTAACCTGTTACAAATCTCCATGGATTATTATTAGCCCATTTAGGTAATTATACATTATTAACCACTATTCCATTTTGTGTTTTACCAAATTACAGATTCTACAAATTAAGAAACATTTCAGGTAAACAAAACATCTCTGGAATTAATTCTCTTACATCTGCAATATCTTCTGTTGCACATCTGAAACTCTCAACTAAAGAATAAAATAGACGATCAGGAATATCAAATTTATTTCCTTAAATCTCTTTTGCTATTGTTGTAAATGGTTCCAATCTTATAAGAAATTAAGAAGTAATAGCTAATGATGAATAATGAGATCCATAATGAAAAGCTGGAATTTCACCACCTTATTCAGACTATTCAAATCTTTCTATATAACTTTTTATTCTTTAATTATTTCCTAATGCACCCATCGTCTTTTACATTGCTCTAAATTAACCTTCAGGATATATTTTAACACTTGGTTCCTATTCTATTTATACATCTTTTGGTTCACAAATTACCCAAGGAAATACTGGATATTAAGTTAAATCATTATAACTTCTTGATGCCAAATTATTTAATAATAACAAGTATTTAAAATTACTCATTTATTATCTATTTTTTTATATAATAAATTATATACTTATTCCATTTTTACAAATATCCTTACTTTTCTAATAACTTTACTGGATCTGTAGTCTTACTCTAATTAAAATATGGAGCCTAATGACTTTTACGATAATTCAATAATTTAGAAGATATTTCATCCAAATCATTTTGATCACAAATATTAATAAATAATGATTTCCTATTAAATAATCAAAATATAAATTACCCATCAATAAAAAATATCTCCAAAGCAGTTCTCTTTTATAAATATTTCTTTTTTATTATTAAAACCAAATTATAAATAGAATACTTTTTAATTAATTTCTAATCATCTCTTAATTCAAATACTCCTAAAGCTGCATGTGATCCTTCACTTCTTAAAAATTCATATTATAATAATATATGAGTATTAGTTAAACTCATTAATGCATAATAAACATATAATCCATTTATAACAAGAACCTTCTTTCCTTTAAATGTATTCTCACCAAATTATTTAAAATTATCTATTGCTTAAATCTTTTAATTTGCTATAGTCTTTACAGCATTCTTGATATTATTACCGAAAGCTTTACCCATATTCAATAATTAAGTAGCTGCTTAAACAGCTTAAGAATTAGTAGATTATCTCTATCCATAAAGTTATTCAAATTTATCTATTTCATGACCAAGAATAATTGGAGCAGTTTAAGGAGTCTGATAAACAGGTTTATTTCTTAAAATATCTGGAATTATAGGGATACTCTTTATATAAGGTCTAGCAAAAGATTTAGTAATCATTTTAGATATTTTAATGTTAAAGTACTTATTTTTAACAAATTCTTCTTATATTATATCCTAAACCAAATCATTTCTTTAAATACATCCTTATCCTTAAGAGAGCCAACCATCATTTAAGAATAAGGAATTCAATGATTTATGATATTTATTTCTTCCAATACGTTCCTTCTCACTTTCTTTATAAATCCACTAAGACTTTCTCTCTTCAATCTCTATATATCTATTTTCACCCAATTATTATACATCCCTAGATACCTTCTATGGTGAAACAATTGATTCCATAGACCATTATTAAGGAATGTTAACCTTAATTTAAATCTCTTTCTTCAAAGTATTACTATTACTGATCTAATCTATCAATTAATCCAATATTGAATCATCTTGAAATGATTTAGCTAAAAGACTTTCTAATACAGTCTCAAATTCTTAATATAAATCTATCATGAATTTCCTTAATAAAGATGGTTAATTCCTCTCTTTTGAAACAAAAATAATGTAACATAAAAATTTAATAAATTCTTTAAAATTCTACTAATTCCTACACTTTGATAAGATATGTGCTAATCCATAACTAATTTCACTTTAACAAATCTCTAATGTAATAGCATATGTATTAAGTAATTGTTATAGATTGTCTTAATGAGTACTTTCAATTATGATTTCATAAATTTAATGATTTTAAATTTTGGTATTAAAGAAAGATTAGACTTTTTATGCTAATTCAGGATGGTTGAAACATTTTTATATTTGATCAATTTATTCTTAAAATTCATTAATTAATATATAATACCTTCTGTATTGCCATTAATTATGTAATCTTTATGAATTAAATCATAAAATTTATTAAATTTCTTTATCAATTAAGGATAATGTTACTTCAATTCTATTAAATATAATGCTGTCTAAATAATATTCTTCCACAATAAAGAATCTGTCTGAAAATTCTTGCATAAATCACTATTATTATTATTTATAATATACTAAAGTTAGTCTATTATGACATTCATTTGTAATTCTACTAATTTCTAATTACAATCTACACCCCATTTTAATAATTCATAAACATAATTAGCACCAATGAATTCTGATTTCAATACTTATACTATAAGTGTAGTATGCAATCGACTCCCAATTTCATATATCTAAATAAATATAATATCTTACTAAATTTTGATCTTCTTGTGATGATAATATTTTAAGTAGTTCATTTTGAAATGTTGCCTATCCCAAAATAAGTATAGAATTTCCTTAATGTGATTTACAAAGACAAAGTAAATCTTATAAAATTTAAGCTTTGAGATTATCTTCAATAGAAAAAGCAACAATTTTCATAATTGCATTAATAATTCCTTCATTCTTAATTTAATCTCTCTCTTCTATCATTATAGATTCATTCTCTCCAATCTTTAATTTATCAATCATCCAACTCATAAGTTAATTGTAAACAGAAGCAAATGATTAAATTTTTTTTTTTTAAACCTATTCAACTTACTATATCGACATGGAAGAAGAAGAAACTTCTTTTATTTGAGTTACTAAATTGTAATAATATAATATTAATACATTCTTATTAAAATTATTATTTTGGTGCTTAACTATTTTTTGTTGACATTGGAGGTTATCTTACAACTGTTTATTATTATTATTATTTTGGAGATTCTACAAATTATTCTTATTATTTTGGAGATTCTACATATGGTTCTTCAGGTTCTCTATGTCCTTACATATACATATGACATGCTTTTGCCAATCTATTTATTTCTGCTAATTCCTTATTAAATGCTTCATGATCACTAATTTAGAATTTTTAATAAATACAATGCATTTT